ATAAGCATTAATTACATACATAAAAAAAAACATTTTTATTACTGTAGCGTCTTTGTATGAACTTCCGGAATGCTTCAAGTAGTTTTGGTACTGTCAAATTTGATGCAAAATTCATATAAAACAGACAAATTTAATAAGATGTGAAGGCAGATTTTCAGTGGCCAAAATTGCACCCGAATGAACCATTTTACACTTAGGAATAAATAATATTCATGGGGGGCATGCCCCCGGACCCCTCCTAGCAGACTCCTTCACAAAAGTCTCACACCAAAACTTACTGTGATGTCACAAGAAATCATTGATTTCTCTTACCGTTGACAGGTGTATCCGCACAGTAACGGTGTGAGATTAATAGAATCTCTCACCCCAATGGGAATGAGATAGGGGAATCGCAACCCAAGGGGGGAGATTCTTAAGTTGTCAAACACGAGGCTTTGCCGAGTGTTTGACACCTTCAGAATCTTTCCCCGATGGAACATGGAGAACAGGGTAAGAGAAAAAGAACTAGGAGAACAGGATACGTGAAAAAGAACTGGGAGAACAGGGTTAGAGAAAAAGAACTGGGAGAACAGGGTAAGAGAAAAAGAACTGTGAGAACAGGGTTAGAGAAAAACAACTGGGAGAACAGGGTAAGAGAAAAAGAACTAGGAGAACAGGATACGAGAAAAAGAACTGGGAGAACAGGGTTAGAGAAAAAGAACTGGGAGAACAGGGTAAGAGAAAAAGAACTGGGAGAACAGGGTTAGAGAAAAAGACCTGGGAGAACAGGGTTAGAGAAAAAGAACTGGGAGAACAGGATGCGAGAAAAAGAACTGGGAGACAGCGTTAGAGAAAAAGAACTGGGAGAACAGGATTGGAGAAAAAGAACTGGAAGAACAGGGTAAGAGAAAAAGAACTGGGAGAACAGGGTTAGAGAAAAAGACCTGGGAGAACAGGGTTAGAGAAAAAGAACTGGGAGAACAGGATGCGAGAAAAAGAACTGGGAGAACAGGGTAAGAGAAAAAGAACTGGGAGAACAGGGTTAGAGAAAAAGAACTGGGAGAACAGGATGCGAGAAAAAGAACTGGGAGAACAGGGTAAGAGAAAAAGAACTGGGAGAACAGGGTTAGAGAAAAAGAACTGGGAGAACAGGGTTAGAGAAAAAGAACTGGGAGAACAGGATGCGAGAAAAAGAACTGGGAGAACAGGGTAAGAGAAAAAGAACTGGGAGAACAGGGTTAGAGAAAAAGAACTGGGAGAACAGGGTTAGAGAAAAAGAACTGGGAGAACAGGGTTAGAGAAAAACAACTGGGAGAACAGGGTAAGAGAAAAAGAACTGGGAGAACAGGGTAAGAGAAAAAGAACTGGGAGAACAGGGTTAGAGAAAAAGAACTGGGAGAACAGGGTAAGAGAAAAAGAACTGGGAAAACATGGTTAGAGAAAAAGAACTGGGAGAACAGGGTTAGAGAAAAAGAATCATTCACCAGCCGCGTGTTTGGCAACTTCCCCCTCAGGTTGAGATTCCCCTTTCTCACTGCAAGAGGATGAGAGATTCTATTAATTTCAAATCTTTTGGGCGGTAGGAGAACTATCGTTTCACGGAAACCAATGTCTTTATGAAGAAATAAATGATAGTCAGAATATTCTCGGTTTCTAGCTGAATAACAATTATGTTTCGACTCGTGAAATTTGATTTTTTCTAATTTTCCACTCGTGCTACGCATTCGTTAAATAAAAATGAAATACTAATAGTCACCCCACTCGCGTGAAATTTGACTATAACCACGGAATTAGATTAGATTATCTAAGTCCGTGCTATTACTCATCAATATCCAAAGAATATCCTCCATATAGCTTAGGTCAATGCTTCACATAAGGATAGGTCCAATCATGTATACTGTTCACTTACATTTCAATAAATATTGTTCACGTCATTCTTTGAATATAGACTTTATTTTGAAACTGTAGAAAATATTTGTAGATAATAAAAATATATTTAACCAGATACCTATATACACACAGATCTCTTACATGTACTTACAAATGACATATTGAAATACTGATTCATAGTTTTATGATTAAATTCGTTTGTTTTGCGCATCGTGACATAACAATAGGGGGGGGGGGGGGATATATTATTTCACAACGACATACTACGTTTGTATTAAACATACTACAATGAGGAGCATTCTCTGACCATGTGTGTCTGTGGCTATTATATAAATGCTATAGTAGCCTTGCTCAGGTCCTAGAATTATTTTAGGGTTATCTATTTTGAAGTATTTAAAAGGTGATCGTCGGCTGTTTCATCACATAACAATAGAAATCTAGTTAATTAGACAACATGATTGACGCCGACATCTTTTGACAGGTAAATAGCAGGTGCTATAGGTATGGTGTTGCCAGTGGATGCCTGGCGCTGATTCGATACCCGGGGGTCTGTGTGTGTGTGT